ACGCCTTCGACTTCAGTCGGTCAGTTTTCTGGTGGTGCCGCTTCGATTTTTGCTTATTTTACCGCCGTTCTGTTTTTACCCTCACTGACCTGGCCCTACTACTCGAGCGGTCTGCTTTTCTAGGTCCCGCGCCATGTTCCTCAAGTTGGACAGGCGGGGCACGTGGCATCCTCGAGGAGGCAGTGGGAAGGTTGCACATGCAGCGGACACACACACACACACACACACACACACACACACACACACACACACACACACACACACACACACACGCTCGAGAGGCTGCCAAACGGTGCGCAATCAAAATGCAATAAAATTTTTGCTTTTGAGTCAAGTGAGGCGCTGCGAGTATTTTGCGGCGCGCATCTCTAAGGAGCGATTCCGGACAGTCAGTCGCTCCGTCTCACTCGCACCCCCGGGGTACGGCCGCACGCCCCGCGAGTGCGAGAGAGACAGGGCGACGGGGCGCCGCGCCTTCGATTCGATCATCGCGGAGGACGCACGTGAGGGGACTGGGGGACTGCATGCCACTTTAATGCAATAATCGATCCAAGAGATCCAAGAGATCGAAGAGGTTGATGTCATAGCATCAGCATCCTTTGCTATCGCGCCAAAACAGCGCTGAAACACTCCATCAGTTCACTGGCCGGCGCACAGTGGGCCAGAAGACCGGCGGAGGCGGCCAAAAGTCTGGACGCGTTTTGAGCTCCAGAGTCGTCAAATGGGACTCGAACCGAACGTGTGACCCCACCAATGGATTGCTCGTTCGGAGAGTAATCCATTGGTGGGGTCACACGTTTGGTTCGAGCCCTGTTTAGCGACTCTGGAGCTCAAAATGCGTCTGGGATTTTGGCTGCCTCCACCGGCCTTCCAGTCCACTGTGCGCGGGCTCGACTTGCTCCACGCCCCACTTCGAGGACGTGTCGTAGTACGTCGTGGCGTAGTACGACACTGTGACAGTGTTAGTGTTCGCTCCACCCCCACCCTTCGTGCACATTCACGCACGCACACATAAAGACTCACAGATACACAGACACAGACAGACAGTGCATCAGCGTGCACTGGTGTTTTCCTGACTGGCGGGCGAGAGATGCTGATGCAAAATTGCGATGAGGATAAAATGCGCTCCGTTTAGATAAAGGGGGAACACCGACGGATGACGAAAACAAGTCACATGCAAGAGTAAAGACGAAGAGAGAGAGAGAGAGAGAGAGAGAGAGAGAGAGAGAGAGAGAGAGAGAGAGAGAGAGAGAGCGAGAGGGACGAGAGAGAGAGGAGACAGCAATGGGACCGGGGCACGGCGGCCAGCTTGCTGCACTTTTCAGCCGGCCTGCATCAGCAGCCGTGTGATTCAGTCGGCCAGTCTGTCTCTCTCGCACCCTTACGGAGTGCCCTACGAGTGCGACAGAGACAGCGCGATGACGAAACAACTCTCTTCCGAATCGCTCGTGTCTTATCAGTGGGGATGGGGTGCCGGGGGGGGGGGAGGGGGCTTAGAGGTCCCCCTATGTGACAGTAAGAATGCAGCAAACGCCGTCCGCGGCCCCGCGCTGCCTCTCGCTAAGCGCTTTCGAGACGTGTGCGGTATTCAGCGCGCGGCGCGGCGGGGCGGGGCGGGGCGGCGCGCCAATCCAAGGGCAAGGTCTCTGCCGAAGGAAACGGGCGCCTTGCTTCGCCTTGCTTCCACATTTCTACGGACTCTGCCACAATCTGGAGCGATCTAGGAATGCCGCCCTGCGACTCGGCCGGCCAAGTTCCTCATTATTTCGGCTTCATTTTCGTTATCTCGCTGCACGCTGCTGGGGGACGGGCGCCGAAAAAGAGAGCCCCTCCCAATGTTCTCACGTCGCGTTGCACGCGTTGCACGGATGGAGTGACCCACCTGTTGGGGCTCGACGCTGCAGCCACGTGTCGACTCGGTGACGGCCCTGTGGCGTGGCGGCCTAGTTGTGGCCCTGTGTTGCCTCTGTGACAACCCTTCTGGCGGCCCTTGTGACAGCCCTGTGACAGCCCTGTGACAGCCCTGTGACAGCCCTACGGCCCTGTCACCAGTCTATCGACGCCCGCCACCAATGAACAGAGCCGCCACTTTAACTGTTGGCCTCCGTTCCGTCGATGTACATATTGGAAAGGCTTGGCGGAGCGCAGTGGGCCAGAAGACCGGTGGAGGCGGTCAAAATCCCGGACGCGTTTTGAGCTCCAGAGTCGCTACATGAGACTCGAACCGAGCATGTGACCCCACCAATGGATTGCTCTCCGAACGAGGAATCCATCGGTGGGGTCACACGTTCGGTTCGAGTCCTGTTTAGCGACTCTGGAGCTCAAAACGCGCCTAGAGTTTTGGCCGCCTCCACCGGCCTTCTGGCCCACTGTGCGGAGGAAGGCTGCGCCAGCGCGCCTCGCCCCAAAGTAAGAGGACACTCTCGACCCGCGAGTCCGCGGGGCCGCGACGACGCCGCGATCTGGTTCTGGGAAACAGAGCCGGACAGTGGACGACTGTGGCGTCGGCCAGCACCGCGGGAACAGTCCGTCAAACTCGACCGAGCCAACCGGAAATGCAACGCACTTGTCGTGGCTTCACGTCCGCGTTTCAAATCGAAAACAACAAACATTTGTTTCAATACATCCTGGTCGATCATAACGGCCCTCCAAACGGTGGCACGTGGAAGCTACGTAGTGTGGGCCCCGAAAGCCGCCTCGGCCGGTGACTTCGGTGAGTAGTTTTTGGTGGAATGGCTGTCGCCTTGGCATTCCCCGCGTGCCTCGCCGATACGAGGCCCTTCACTGATAAGGCGAGGCAGCCTTGGCGCTCCCGAATACGAATATTAATTACGCTGCGTGTTGTAAAAGGGCCCGCAGCAAGTGTCACATTCGTATTGGGATTCATTGAGGCCGATAATGGACGTTGTCTCGCTCCTGCATTGCGTGTTCGTTCTCTCTCTCCCTCTGTCCCTCCCGCATCTCTCTACGACATTTGGGCGCCAAGCGGCCAGTACTGTATGGTGAGCAGTTTTCTTAGTGCTTCACCCAGAAAAGTGACATTTGGAGGCCCTTTTCACATTGTTCTAAATTCAGAGGTTGGCACCTCTGAGGGGCTCAAGGGCTCAAGGAAGTCGCCTTGAAGAAAGTAAAACCACCTTGCCAACGCGTGTTCCTGCACAGATAAGTCTTTTCGATCTGCTTCGCGTGATCCAAAGCGGTTTCCGCGGTGCACCCCAACCGAACCGGGCCGCGTGACAGACGTGCTTTTATCGACAGTGCACCGCGCACAGCAGTACAGCGCCCAGGGCCGGTGTGGGCCGGTCGCAGGGTCCAACGCAAGTCCTTGTACGTAGCGCTGTCTAGCGTTGCCGGGCCGGGCCAGGCCGTTGCGTCAGGATAGCGCTCACCCTATCCCTGCGCCAGCCCGCCATTCTGTCTGTCTGTCTGTCTGTCTGTCTGTCTGTCTGTCTGTCTGTCTGTCTGTGCCGTACTTTAATATTTTCCCATTCTCTTGAATACGCATCCCCGGTTCGGTTGCAAGACTTGTGCAATTAAAAACCGAGATGCGGCTAGGAAAAGCATGAACATTTTAAAACAAAACTGCCTGTCATTCTGCCCGCCCGTCCGACTGTCCCGCTAATCAGCCCGTATCGGGCCACGCTCCGCCACGTGGTGGTCAGCGCGGCGGTCGTCTAGTGCCTCTTGGAGGCCCAGCCGCGACCACCGCGGTGGTTACGACGAGGAGCCCTACGCGACACCAGCACGCCGATGCGTCGCTCGGTCTCTTCCGCACTCATGGGGCCGCCCCGTGCCCCGTAGGACCCGTAGGGGTGCGAGAGAGACGGAGAGAACCGGCCTGCAGGTTCGGCTTGCAGACTGCAACGCTGCAATACTCTGGAGGGAGAGGGCCTCGGAGGGCTCGCCACGGCGCGGCGCGGAGTATCGGCGTGGCGATCTGCGAGGACCGCGGGGACCGCGGACCGCCAAGCCTTTCCTCTTGCCTCCAGCAGACTCAGAGTCTATCTCTCTCGCACTCATGGGGCGGCCCGCACAGGTGCAAGAGAGACAGCGTATAATTTTTTCAAAAAATAAAATACTTTTTGCTATTGCAGTTTTTTTCAGTCTTTTTGGCGGCGAGCAGGGAAGCCTCGCTTATAGCCCGCCCCGCCGCGTCCCGCGCCTACCCGGCGAACCTGACCCCGAACGCGCCGTGAACACGCCGCTTGACGAGCCAGATGCCAAAGTGAATGTTTCAGGTGGTGCTTGCCCTGTCCGCCCAGCGCGGCCCGGCGCCCCTCGAGAGGCTGTGCATCTGTGTGCATCGCCCGGCCAGCCAGCCCGCGGGGCCGTTCCATCGCCGTCTCTCTCGCACCCAAGGGATGCCCATGAGTGCGAGAAGCAGGCGGAAACCGCGGCGGCGCACGGTGGGCCAGAAGACCGGCGTGGAGGCGGCCGAAACTCTGGACGCGTTTTGAGCTCCAGAGTCGCTAAACAGGCCTCGAATCGAACGTGTGACCCCACCAATGGATTCCTCGTTCGGAGTGCAATCCATTGGTGGGGTCACACGTTCGATTCGAGTCCCATTTAGCGACTCTGGAGCTCGAAACGTGTCCGGGATTTTGACCGCCTCCACCGGTCTTCTGGCCCACTGTGCGCTGTGTAGGGAGGGTCGGAGACGACATGTTCGGCTAGGCTAGACGCTGCTAGACGCTGCTAGACGCTGCTAGACGCTTATCAGGCAGGCGGGCCTGGCCGGGCTGCTCGGCGCGCTCGGGGCGGCGAGGCAGGTTGTCGGTGCACTGCCACGGCCTGGCCACAGCCACAGTGCCGGCCCAGAGCCCACTCAGCCCAGACGAAGCGAAGCGCCGAAGCGCCGGCAGGACGCCGCCAGCGAGCCAGCGAGGCGACGGGACGGGCAGAACGCCGCGGCCGCGACGCGAGGGACGCGACGGCACCGGGACGGCGACGGCACCGGGACGGGACACCGCGGCGAACCGTTGGCGCGGCACCACGCGACGCGACGCCGAACCGCGACCGCCGCGACGCGCTGGACGCACCGCGACGCGGAGAGACGCGGAGAGACGCACGCGCGGAGAGACTTGCGAGTCGCGCTGACGCGTTGACGCCCCACTGGATTGAGGGAATTCCCTGCAGGCCGCTGACGTCGCCGCAGGTAAGGACCGTGACAGCGTGACAGCGGCGCAACGCCCTGTGTGCCAGAAGCCCGGTGGAGGCGGTCAAAATTCTAGACGCATTTTGAGCTCCAGAGTCGCTAAATAGGGCTCGAATCGAACGTACACGTTCGGTTCGAGTATACTGTTCATCGACTCTGGATCTCAAAACGCGTCCACAGTTTTGGTCGCTTCCACCGGTCTTCTGGTCCACTGAGCAACGTCTATGGACAGTGGACAATACTGGAAAGAGTCTGTAATTAATTTGTCACCACATAGCTAGTTACATTTTCTCACCAGATTTCCTAGCTCACAATACTTTTGGTGACAAAAATTTTGGCTCTGCATAGCGCGCGTTTGAGCGCTGCAGCGTTCAAACACTATCGTTACCACTCATACACGGGTACTAGTCGTGCCGCACCGTTACCACACTGTGCACCGTTCGGCAGTGTTGTCAACAAAGTTCTACGCATGTGAGCGCGCCGAGTGTCGCCGAGTGGTGTGCCTGCTTGTTCGCCCATCTCCCAGTCATGCATCGAGTACCCGGGCACACGGTGTGTGTTGGGCTGGGTGCTTTGGGCAGCCAACCACGCGGAGCTGCGCGGAGCCAGCTAGGCAAACCTTCTGGCGCGAGTTGAACTTGAACTTGAACTTGCCTGGCGGGCTCGAGTCCGCTTTGGTCGGTTTGCTTCCACACTGGGAAATGAAAGAGTCACGATTAGGACCGCATATTTTGGTCGAGGTGGATTTTATCCCCCAAATTTTGGTGAAGACTTTCCGACGAAGTCCTGCTAGGTCCCTCAAGGTTCTGCAAGGTTCTGCATGGTTCTGCAAGGTCCTGTAATGTCCTGCAAGGTCCTGCAAGGTCCTGCAAAGGTCCTGCAAAGGTTCTGCAAAGGTCCCCCAAGGTCCTGAAAGGTCCCACAAGGTCCTGCAAGGTCCTGCAAAGGTCCCACAAGGTCCTGCAAAGGTCCTGCAAAGGTCCCACAAGGTCCTGCAAAGGTCCTGCAAGGTCCTGCAAAGGTCCTGCAAGGTCCTGCAAAGGTCCTGCAAGGTCCTGCAAAGGTCCTGCAAGGTCCTGCAAAGGTCCTGCAAGGTCCCACAAGGTCCTGCAAGGTCCCACAAGGTCCTGCAAGGCCCTGCCGGCCGCCGATAGGGGCCACATAAAAGGCGGCATTCCCCCTAGTTACTGCCTGGCCTCGCCACTCGGCCGTAACCTTGGTTGTGCACCTCGCGGAGTTTTGCCCGTTCTGCCTGCCTTTCGTCCTGCTTCGCGACAAAGGTGCGACTGTCCTCCCGGACCGCTCTCGGCGCCGAGAAGGTGCTTGTTTGCTCCAAAATCGAGGGGGGACAGTTTCAAATTCGTAAATACCATGCGAATTTTTTTTTTAAATACATTTTTTGGTAAAGTTTTGCTTTGAATTTTCCTGTGAATTTTCACAGATTAACACGGAACCTTTGGTGTCTCTTATCATCGCTTGGCTATTGCCGAACTTTTCGGCCTAACTGACAGGAAGGAGAAAATGCATCGCAAAAGACTCCAGGACTTGAACGCGCGGCTGGACAAATTCATTGATGCGGCCAGCGCGTGCATGCCGTGCAGTACACTTGAAGGAGTGCATCGCCGAGTGGAAAGGGGGGGGGGGACATGAAAGCTCTATTATCGCTAACCCGATCAGCGGACATGTGCTGACTGTGGTCCGGTCGGGCCTGCCATGGAGCCGTCCTGGAGGGGGTCCTCGTCCTGGAGGCAGTCCTCCTGGAGGGAGTCCCGGGGGAGTTCTCGTCTGCACGGCATTCCTGCCGCCATTTACTCGGCCGGGCCGCACGCAGACGGTGAGTTTGTGTGTGTGTGTGTGTGTGTGTGTGGTGTGTGTGTGTGTGTGTGTGTGTGTGTGTGTGTGTGTGTGTGTGTGTGTGTGTGTGTGCTCGGGCAGACGGGACCCTCGCACCCAAAGTAAACAAATCGTCCGTCTCGAGAGCGGCGAAATGGATCGAGTCGTCTTCGGCGTGCTCCGCTCGCCTCCCTTCGGCCCCTCCGGCCCCTTCAGCGCGCCACTCCAGATTCGTCCCTGTTTTCGAGTCAATCTCAGTCTCGTTTAGCGTGCCAAATGTCCCACTTTGTTTTCGTTTTCGGCCACACTCGCCGAGTCAAATGTATAACACGCCGCAAATTCAGGAAACAGAAAACTTTGTACACTGCTCCGAGAATTTTCGGAACTGACTGTGTACTGCTGAGGCCGTTGCAAATTTTCGACGATCAAATGAATTTACGGAATATGGCTTTCTTTGAGTCAGCCGGTTTCTCCTCTGTTGACTGGGCTTTTACTGGCCCGTTTTGACTGTGTTTACGAGTGTGTGCGCGGGATTTCAAGAGTCGGCCGTCGACCCTCTCTAGGGTGGCACCACTGTCAAATGCCCCCGGCGTTGACGTTGCTACCAACAGCACATATTTTCGAGTCGTTTTCCAATATTTTTGTAAGTCAAATTTTCGACGCCGTCAGAAGTCGAAAATTCACTGTCAAACATCTAGTCGTTTTCACCAATAATTCAAAATGAATGACTCGGTGTGATTTAATACTACTGTTATCAATTAGAATTTTTTTAAAACCTTTTTTTTTAAATTTTTTGAGTGCAGTGGCAGTGTCACGTCACGGCCGCTTCCAAATCCTTTCGTTTATGAGCCGGTCCGCCATAACGCTAACGAATCTGCCGGCTGCCCCGGTCACTTTATTGTCCACATTCGCCTGGAGAGAGAGAGTTAGAGAGAGAGAGAGAGAGAGAGAGAGAGAGAGAGAGAGAGAGAGAGAGAGAGAGAGAGAGAGAGAGAGAGAGAGAGAGAGAGATTTGGAAGGCGCTCTTTTCCCAACGACGTCGTACACAGCGTCTCGTATGTACAGTTCGGTTGGGCAGCCTCGGGCCTTCGGGCCTTCGGGCCTTCGGGACTTGGAGTCTTCGGCACGCCAGGGCCGCCAGGGCCGCGGGCCGCGCTATGGTATGCGGGTGCAGTACGCCGCGGCGGCCCGTGGGGCCTTTAGGCCTTACTTACCGCGCTGATTCACCCGGGAAGCATTTCGCGCACTTGATGTGCGGCACGCTCACTCCAACGCGGCCAGGGCGGGGCGGGGCGGGACAGACAGGGCGTGTTGCATAATGTCACGGAGGAAATGTAGTTCACGGGCAGCCAATGGGACGATGCGCTCGATGTGTGTGTGTCTGTGTGTGAGTTGCGGCGCCAATGTGTGTGTAATGGCTGGCGCCCACCACCCCTTAATCGCACCGATTCCACACACACACACACACACACACACACACACACACACACGCATGCATGCACACACATACACATACACACACACACACACACAGACTCTGGCACTGGGCCGCACCTGTATGACACCTGTCCAAGGCGGAGAGCAATCATCTGGTCCCTGTAATGGGTACGTGTGTGAGAGAGACATTACACGCTCAGACGCACGCACACCAAACCCGGGACATTTTTGTCTGACTTGACGTAGAGGAATAGCTTCAAAATCGAGAATGTTTTTATGTTATGTTCTTTGATTATTTTTGAGAAAAAAAAGCGATGCGAATTTTTTGGAGGCAATAAGTGGGCCGCTTTTATGGCAGAAGGCCCTTACTCTCTTATCACTGTATGTCGCACGGTCACACACTGTCACACACGGTCACACACTGTCACACACTGTCACACGGCGGCAGTCCGTCGCTGTCGCGTCACTGCGTCGCGCTTTCCAAAGAGACAGGCTCGCTGGACGTCGCTCTACTCCCCCTGGCCCGTCAGGCGCTGCCGGTTATTCTAACGATCGATTAATCGATTGATATAATCGACAGATTTATAGTGACAACCGGCGGCGGGCGGCGCGATAGTCAAATAAAAAGAAATTACCCAATTTATGATTCCCCGATGTCCCACAGCTAAATCACTCGCGGGCAGACGACCTCTAATCGCTGCCTGATTTTTAAGGGGCTTTAAAGGGTTTTTAACTTTAAATTCGCACAATGCGAGCCGACACCCCCTTCAAACGGGTCCGATCTTCGCCCGCAAAAATTCGTTGTTCCGAAATGGGGGAAAATGACCATGGGGGGGATTGGTTGCCCCCGGCTTACCCTTAGACGGTATTAGTTAATTCAGCCCTTAACCTTGCCATTCAGATTAGATTGGCCTTGGCATCAGATTTGGAGACTTCAGCAGGGGGCCCTTAGAGGGTCGCACGGGTCCCCCCCAATGGCTTCCCCCATCCGACTTTAAAATTAAAATAAAAAGGGACTCCAGAAAAAATTTGTTTTTTTTTCCCCGATCAACTTTTTACCACAGTAATGGTTTTTTTTTTTTTTCTTTTCGGTCTTTGTACCTAAATTAATTAAAGGCGGGGGGGCCGGGTTTATTTATTTTTGGGTTGCGACTTTAGGGACGCCCCCGGCAAGAAGCTCGCACCCTCGCTAGCGAAATCGTGAGTTGGCAGCGGAAGCGCGGACTGACCAGATAAAGCGCAGTCACGGCACCGCCGTCTCTCTCGCACTCACGGGGCGTCCCCTGAAGGTGCGAGAGAGACAGAAAACGACTCAGTCTGCAGGAGGGCTTGGGGCTCCTGCCCGGTGCCGATGAGGAGATAATCACGCTCAGAGATTTAAATCGATGCGTCGTCAGCATTTATGGGACTTCCCCGACGGGGCAACGCATAAGCCCGGCGTCATTCTGGGGTTTAGGTTTGTCTCACCTTAACGCCTGTTTCCATCCTGTCCGCAGAAAACGACCCTCCGCCCGAGCATGTGCCTTGGCGGCGGCGGGAATCGAACCTCCGACTCGATCTCCAGAAGAGCAGCTAAGCGCGGCCGGTCGTGAAAGGGAGCCGGCCGACCCACTGCGAAAGGTGAGTGACAGAGAGCGCATGACTGGCTGACACGCACAAGTGACGCACTGAGCGACGGAGTGATGCGTGGGGTGCCCATTCAGGCATCGCATTTCCAGTGGTACTCGCGAAAAAAAGCTCAGCGTGAAATCTTGATTTTTGGAAAAAAGTGTCTTGGTTCAAGAACTGTCTTAAATTTTAGATCAAAACTTTAAAATGAAGATTTTTTTTGGCACAAAAACAGCAACAAGAAAATGAATATATTTTAAACATTTCTCGAGTACAAAAATTTTTTGAATTGAGAGCCCTGGCGCTTTTGTATTGCACGTTCAGGAAACGCGTTTTCGCTCGTCTGCGTCCCGAGAGCTAATAATCAATAACTCCGCAGGGGTGCACGCACACCGCGTCACAGAGCTCGTCGTGAAATTTAATTGTTTGATTGACTTGACAATGCTCAGCATGCACCTTTTCCTTTCGCTGCGACGACCCTCATCGGTCCCGTGCTTGGCGGTCTTGGCAGCGGAGCCAGGGGGTCATTAAATGCAAAGTTTCCTCCTAGAGAGAGACAGCGTTCTGATAAGGGAAGGCCCCACGGAGTTGACACACGGTATCTCTGCGCGCCGATGGCACCTCACATCTGGTGCCGTTCTGGCGCCAAAAAGGGCACTCCCGATCTACCCGAAAAATGATTGGCTTGGCTCGGCTGATGCATTAGCCGCGTACCTGGGTCGCTCCGCTCGCAGCTGTCGCCTCGAAAGACGTGCACACTCTGCCAGCTGCAGATACTCCCATGTGACAGGTTGGATGGGAGCTATAACGTTGTCGCTGGCACGGCTACATTTTACTTTGCTTGCCTTACAAGCTGGAGCCAGCACGGTATTCCCTCGATGCTCATTTCAGTCGAAATATTCCTCTTACTTCATACCCAAGGAATGTAGGTCCGAGAGTCAAAGAAACGCTGCACCGAACATTAATAAACTTGCAACCATCTTTCTCAGGATGTGCATAGTTTTTCGAGCATTTATCTTCAGGGGAAGGGGCTTCTGTAATTCATCTCGGAACGTTACAACAGTCATAACACTTGTCACTCTCGATCTCTCGATCTCTTCTGTGCCGTGGGAATTCGCGAGGCATCATTTGTCACGATTAAAATTGAAGAGTTGGTATTTATTGAGAAGCAGTCAGTCGGGCGGGGGCAAGCGCGGGGAGGGAAGCGCATGATGAACTACGACCAACTCAGTAGCATCTCCCCAACACCTTCAATCAAATAACCATCATTTATATGCAACTCGTAGATTGGCCACACAGTCGTGTGTGTGTGTGTGGTGTGTGTGTGGCGGGATGTTATTACACACACGTGCTAAGTGGATCACAGACACACACACAGACGCACTGTGCAATTTCCTTGCTCGTGCGCACATCCAAGTGAGCTTTGTAAAAACCTTTCAGGCAGTAGTCTCCTTTCCGTCCCCAAATTACGTGGCCGCCGCTTCGTTTCTGGGAGGGGCGAGCGCCGGGCCGGGCCGGGCGAGGAAGGCGCGACGACGAGGCACGACACGGCAGGTGAAGTCATGAAGCCGCAAATCATCTCGCCATCCTATCCGCGCGTGCACGTGGCGCACCGACGAGAGAGAGAGAGAGAGAGAGGGAGAGAGAGAGAGAGAGAGAGAGAGAGAGAGAGAGAGAGAGAGAGAGAGAGAGAGGTGTGTGAAAAGGTCGTTACTGGAATTAACAGCGCAGCGCAGCGCCGCGCCCCGGGCTCACCGCTGCACCGCGACGACCGTCCGTCCGTCCACAGTGGGCCAGAAGACCGGCGGAGGCGGCCAAAACTCTACACTCGTTTCGAGCTCCAGAGTCGCTAAACGGGACTCGAACCGAGCGTGTGACCCCACGAACGGATTCCTCGTTCGGAGAGCAATCCATTGGTGGGGTCATACGCTATGCTCGAGTCCTACCCCTGACAAACTGAGGGCCAGGTCAACTCGGGGGTGACTCGGGGGTAACTCAAGGGGAAGTCGGGGGACTCGGGGGAACTCGGGGGGAAGTCGGGGGGAAGTCGGGGGAAGTCGGGGGGAACTCAGGGGCAAGTCGGGGGGAACTCGGGGGGAACTCGGGGGCAAGTCGGGGGGAACTCAGGGGCAAGTCGGGGGGAACTCAGGGGCAAGTCGGGGGAACTCGGGGGAACTCGGGGGCAAGTCGGGGGGAACTCAGGGGCAAGTCGGGAGGAACTCGGGGGGAACTCGGGGGGAACTCGGGGGAACTCGGGGCAAGTCGGGGGGAACTCAGGGGCAAGTCGGGGGGAACTCAGGGGCAAGTCGGGGGGAACTCGGGGGGAACTCGGGGGCAAGTCGGGGGGAACTCAGGGGCAAGTCGGGAGGAACTCGGGGGGAACTCGGGGGGAACTCGGGGGGAACTCGGGGGCAAGTCGGGGGGAACTCAGGGGTAACTCGGGGGCAAGTCGGGGGAACTTGATCGACTCGCCCAAACACTAGAAATACGCTCCAAACTAGCACCGTTGCCTTTGTCTCGTTGCCCCGATTCTAAAAGTGCCCCTACTTGCCCCTCTAGCTCAGCGGTTCCCAACCTTGGGGTCGCGACCCCAAATGGGGTCGCGAAAAAATTTTGAGGGGTCGCGGCGAGGTGGCTGGGGTCGCCTGGGGTCGCGGTGGTTTCCCGGCTGGCCCACACGCCGAGCACTGGCTGCTTAAATGCCGCAAAGTTGATCAAAACGGTCACAAATGTGTGTAAAAGATCGTGTTTTGGGTCGACTTTAAGCATCCACTGCTTCTGATCCGAGGCGGTAAATCGCCCTCCCTCAACGGGCAATTGGTCTTTGGACCTTCCTTTTGCATGCCTTTGTTACGGAGTGCAATTATCTGCCTTAGTTTGGGAGCAGTTTTGCCGCAAAGTTGATCAAAACGGTCACAAATGTGTGTAAAAGATCGTGTTTTGGGTCGACTTTAAGCATCCACTGCTTCTGATCCGAGGCGGTAAATCGCCCTCCCTCAACGGGCAATTGGTCTTTGGACCTTCCTTTTGCATGCCTTTGTTACGGAGTGCAATTATCTGCCTCAGTTTGGAAGCAGTACTGCCGCAAAGTTGGTCTAAACAGTCACAAATGTCTGTGAAAAATCGGGTTTTGAGCCGACTTTAAGCATCCACTGCGTCTGATCCGAGGCGGTAAATCGTCATCCCTCAACGGGCAATTGGTCTTTAGACCTTTCTTTAGCATGCCTTTGTTACGGAGTGCGATTATCTGCCTTAGTTTGGGAGCAGTTTTGCCACAAAGTTGATCAAAACACGATTTTTCAGACATTTGTGACCGTTTTGATCAACTTTGTGGCAAAACTGCTCCCAAACTAAGGCAGATAATCGCACTCCGTAACAAAGGCATGCTAAAGAAAGGTCTAAAGACCAATTGCCCGTTGAGAGATGACGATTTACCGCCTCGGATCAGACGCAGTGGATGCTTAAAGTCGGCTCAAAACCCGATTTTTCACAGACATTTGTGACTGTTTAGACCAACTTTGCGGCAGTACTGCTTCCAAACTAAGGCAGATAATGCACTCCGTAACAAAGGCATGCAAAAGGAAGGTCCAAAGACCAATTGCCCGTTGAGGGAGGGCGATTTACCGCCTCGGATCAGAAGCAGTGGATGCTTAAAGTCGACCCAAAACACGATCTTTTACACACATTGTGACCGTTTTGATCAACTTTGCGGCATTAAGCAGCCAGTGCTCGGCGTGTGGGCCAGCCGGGAAACCACCGCGACCCCAGGCGACCCAGCCACCTCGCCGCGACCCCTCAAAATTTTTTCGCGACCCCATTTGGGGTCGCGACCCCAAGGTTGGGAACCGCTGAGCTAGAGGGGCAAGTAGGGGCACTTTTAGAATCGGGGCAACGAGACAAAGGCAACGGTGCTAGTTTGGAGCGTATTTCTAGTGTTTGGGCGAGTCGATCAAGTTCCCCCGACTTGCCCCCGAGTTACCCCTGAGTTCCCCCCGACTTCCCCCGAGTTCCCCCCGAGTTCCCCCCGACTTGCCCCTGAGTTCCCCCCGACTTCCCCCCGACTTCCCCCCGACTTCCCCCCGACTTCCCCCCGAGCTCCCCCGGCTTCCTCCCGACTTCCCCCCGACTTCCCCCCGACTTCCCCCCGACTTCCCCCCGAGTTACCCCGAGTTACCCCTGAGTTACCCCCGAGTTACCCCCGAGTTGACCTGGCCCTCAGTTTGTCAGGGGTATTTAGCGACTCTAGAGCTCAAAACGCGCCCGGGATTTCGACCGCCTCCATCGGTCTTTCTGGCCCACTGGCGCCGTCCTCCTCGCGTCGCTTGGCGCGGTCGCGGGGGAGGCGCCGCACCGCGAGGCGCTTATCTCACTGGTCCGCGGTAAACAGCGCCACGCGTCACCACCAGCATTGATTCATTGATTTCACTGCTTGGCTTGCGTCGTGCGGTCAAGTTCAACAGTGGCGGTCAATGTCAAGGCCTCGATGGTCAAAAGTCATGAGCAGGCGCATCAAAAACAAAAATCATGGCGATCCAGTGGTCGAGAACAAAGACCACGGCAGTCAAGCCGGTGGCCGAAACGGAGACCGCGGTGAGCAGGTCGTGCTCACGGCGATCAAGAAGTGCCGCGTGCCACCCGCCCCAATTAATCGCGGCACGAGAACAGAGAGAGAGAGAGAAGAGAGAGAGAGAGAGAGAGAGAGAGAGAGAGAGAGAGAGAGAGAGAGAGAGAGAGAGAGAGAGAGAGAGACGGCACGCGTACGCAGCGCGCGAACACGGGCAGGCCGAGTGAACGTCTCGGCGTCTCATGACGAAATGTATTAGTTCTTTGGCGGGAGAGTCTTGGGTTCGGAGAGTCTGGGGACGGTCCCCTCGAGAGAGACACCTCAACCGCAACACGCTCGGTATGCGCCAAGCACGGCGAAGCACGGCGAAGCACGCGCCAACGTCACAGGGATTGTTTGCCGTCGATAATAGTGGCGGGAATGTGCGCCTATTGGCTGCCGTGCTGCCGTCTGCGCGGCGAGGCGGCGCACAGTGGGCCAGAAGACCGGTGGAGGCGGCCAAAACTCTAGACGCGTTTTCAGCTCCCGAGTCGCTAAGTGGGACTCGAACTCGAACCGACCGTGTGACCCCACCAATGGATTGCTCTCCGAACGAGGAATCCATTGGTGGGGTCACACGTTCGGTTCGAGTCCCGTTTAGCGACTCTGGAGCTGAAAACGCGTCTAGAGTTTTGGCCGCCTCCACCGTGCGGCGTGCGGTGCGCGTGTGAGTGGGACAGTGAGAGTGCTTGTGTGTGGTCGCCCGGCCCGGCCCGGCCCAGGCCATTCAAAGGCACTCAAAAGGTGGCACATCCCGAGCGAGGCGAGTCGCCGCACTGATTAGCAGCCAATCGGGAGCGTGCCTTGGCGCGCCTCGGCGTGTCTGCGAGACGGACTGGCTTCCTGCAGTGCATGCCCATCCCATCGCTCATTCACACTGCATGACAGGATGCAGTGCACTAGGTGGATTTGCCTGATTGCTTCGGTTAATGCAGGATCCGGGCCGTCGCTCCGTCTCTCTCGCACCGCAGGGCGCACCGCCGCGTCCCGCCGCGCCCCGCTCGGGTGCGAGGGAGACAGAGCGCCGCGAGGTGCGATGAGTAAATGGGAGCGCCATTGTTTTGATGGCTGCGGCGTGGCGGCCGATGGCTGGCCAATGGGAGCACGCCGATGACGTCATCCGTGACGCTGCCCTTCTTGGCCACCGCGGCCACGGCGGCCACGGCCAGGCTTCGCGTCGCGCTGCGTCGCACGTTCGGGGAAACGGAGTGGAGTATCCGGTGTTGGGAACGAGTGGCTTCATCCGGAAAGTGGAGGGGAGGGAAAGCCTAGATCCTCACAAAATCCCCGGAAGAAATAAAATGAAAAGGCGACGCGTTTTGGCGGCAGTGGCCGCGTAGCCGCGCGTCTCGAATCCACAGTTCCCATTGTAAGACTTTACCTCCGAAACGTGTGAAACGAAACGTGCGCTCGTTCGTCAGCAATAATTCGAGCCGCCCGCGATTCTGTCTGTCTGTCTGTCCATCCGTCCGTCTGTCGGTCTGTCCGTCTGTCTGTCTATCGACCTGCCTGTCAGTCCTGTCCGTCCGCCCGGTTCGAGAACCCGGTTCGATGCACTTTTGCATCCATCACTTTAATGTGTCGTGGGTAAAGGATGCGCGGGGCGCGGGGCGGCCGGAGACTCGGTCAAAGGCGGCCGCAGTGGCGCGGCAAGTCCAGCGAAACCCAATATCGATCCATCATCCGCGAGCCGCGGACTCGGACGCTGATTCAGATTCAGGTTCGGATTGGCGCTTCACGTCGGACAGGCAGAGAGACTAGTGCGCGCCAAAACACAGCGCGCGGTGCGGCAGGCGGTGCGGCTATTAGGTCTCGCGGGCCAGGGAGGGAGGGGAGGGGGGAAAGCAATCACTCCCCGAATAAGCCCGCGGGAGGGGGGGGGGGGGTGTAGCTTGGCTGCGAGCACGTGTCGCGAAGTGGCAAACAAAGTGATACACTAGATACCGCCACTCCCCGCCCTCGCCGCGCTCGCTGCATTCCAAGCACGCCGTCAGTCCGAGTGCCCCCCTCACCCAAAGCTCCGCGGGGGGGCGTGGCGCCAAGGGGGGGGGGGGAGACGATGCACCGGAACAAAGGCGTCGTTGATTCTCGAGTACAGCTGTCGTCAGTCTCTGTCTCTCTCGCACCCTCCGGGACGGCCAATGAGAGTGAGAGAGGCAGAGCGACGGGTGGCGGCAGGCGGGGCCCAGTGGGGCCCAGTGGACGGCCGGCGGCTGACCCAGAACACGCACTTACTCGCAGACGTCACTGATGATGCCACAGAGGCGCTTCGTCGCTCTGTCTCTGTCGCACTCGTGGCGCGTCCCGCAGCGATGCGACAGAGACAGAGCGACGAAACTGTTCTTCGGAGCGCCTGTAGGGTAGGCAGTCCCGTCGAACAGGCGACCCCGCCGCGCTGCCTACCTCCCAGGCGATTGCGATTGATGCCTCGACGATCGTCTGGCTTTCAGGCCCGCCCTGCCATGTCGGTGATACACCAGCACGTGGCGGGGAGAGAGAGGGCGTGACGAAACAAGCGCTATTTTCTAAAGGGACCGGCGAACCTTTATGTCCTTATCATCGGCCCGAGAACAGAGCGTCTCCAGGCCGCTGTTAGTCGCCCTGTTCACATATCCAACAGCCAGTCAAACAAGGCTATCTGGATATAACTACCTGGAAAGGCTCTTGATAAGGCGATAAGGCGTCGGCCACAACACGGATAGTGTAATGAGGTGTTATGCACCGCACTGCATCGCACTGCTTCGCTTTTCCAAGTGCGCCACAGAACACCGTGTGACCCCACCAATGGACTCCTCGTTCGGAGAGCAATCCATTGGTGGGGTCACACGTTCGGTTCGAGTCCTATTCAGCGACTCTGGAGCTCAAAACGCGTCCTGCATTTTGGCCGCCTGCTCCCCTCTTCTGGCCGACTGTGCGTTGTCACCCTCTTCTTCGCCTGCTCCAGATGCTGGAGGCGCTGGGCGTGCTGCTGGTGCTGGCGCAGGGCGGCCTGGACGGCCTGGACGCCGCCAGGGTGGGCCTGGGCGTCGCCACCGTGACCGTGGCCCCCGACCTGCAGGGCCCGTACTGCGCGCAGATCAACAAGTGCTGCCCCGGCCGGCTCGACGAGTGCTCCGTGCCCATCCTGGGCACGCTGTGCTACTGCGACACCTTCTGCAACCGCACCTACAACCCGGACTGCTGTCCCGACTACTTCAACCACTGCCACGGCTACAGCGGCTATGAGCCCTTCGAGGGCGAGGAGACGTGGACCAACCGGCCGCCGCGGCCGCCGGGGTCCCTCACAGGTGAGCCCGACAACCTGTCTCTCTCGCACTTGTACGGGACGCCCCGTGAGTGCGAGAGAGACAGCGCACCTATCATGTGTGGTCTAGCCCGTAATGGTAATGCAACGTAGGCAGCCATGCGGACTGAGGCGCGTGGCGGGACTGCCTGCACCGCAGGCGCTCGTACTGTCAGAGTCCACGGTTTAATTTTGTTTTTTCAACTTTCCGTTACGTTGCCTGTTGCAGCCGGGTGCTTCTTCAACGGTCGCCACTACCCGCTCGCGGAGACGATCAAGTTCAACTGCAAAGACTGGTGAGCCGTCGCTACTCCACGCGCGAGAGACTTGGGGAAGCTCCGCGCGCGGGGTAGTCACAGGGTTCCCTGTTTCACGTGCTGTGCGAGTTGCAAGAAGCACGACCTTGGCCATACTCCTTGTCCGAGTGACTTTCCATGCGTGGGCGGTCCCTTGCGCGAGGAGTATCGCCGAGGTCATGCAGTGTGCAGCGGACTAACTTGCTCTCCTTTCGCTTCCGCGCAGCAAGTGCGTGCAGATGGCGGACAAGGCGGAGATGCTGTGCTCCGAAGAGACGTGCCTGATCGACACCAAGGTCCTCGAGTGGGTGAACCGCGACCAGGGCCGCGACGCGGACGGAGGGAAAGGCGCCGGCCGCGGCGGAGGTGGCGGGTTCGGGGGGTCCGAAGGGTGGCCGACGAAGGGGCCGCCGCGGTCCCGGTGGACGGCCTACAACTACACGCAGTTCTGGGGCAGAACCCTCAAGGACGGCATCAGTCTGCGCCTGGGAACGCTGCAGCCCTCCGAAGCGGTGAGGAATCATCTGTCTCTCTCGCACGCCTCAGTGGGTCAGAAGACCAGTGGAGGCGGCCAAAACTCTACACGCGTTTTGAGATGCAGAGTCACTAAACAGGACTCGGACCGAACGTGTGACCCCACCAAATGGATTCCTCGTTCGGAGAGTAATCCATTGGTGGGGTCACACGCTCGGTTCGAGTCCATCTAGTGACTCCGGAGCTCAAAACGCGTTTTGTCCGCCTCCGCCGGTCTTCCGGCCCACTGTGCGCCTCCTATGAGTGCGAGGGAGAGAGAGTGACATCCCTGGGCTGCGCGCTGCGCCGCTGTGCAGGTGCTCAGCATGACCCCGCTGCGACACCCGCCGGAGCCCCCCAGCTTGCCGGCCTCCTTCGACGCGCGCAGCACCTGGCCCGGGCAGCTGTCCGCCGTCCAGGACCAGGGCTGGTGCGGCGCGTCCTGGGCGCTGTCCACCGCCGCCGTGGCCTCGGACCGCTACGCCATCATGTCCCTGGGCAGGGAGGCTCCCCGCCTGGCCGCGCAGCACCTGCTGGACTGCAACAACCGCAAGCAGCACGGCTGCAACGGCGGCCACCTCGACCGCGCCTGGTACTTCACGCGCAAGTTCGGGTGAGTGACAGTATGACAGGACAGGGCAAGCCGCACAGTGGGCCAGAAGGCCGGTGGAGGCGGCAAAAACTCTGGACGCGTTTTGAGCCCCAGAGTCGCCAAATGGGACTCGAACCAAACGTGTGACCCCACCAATGGATTGCTCTCCGAACGAGGAATCCATTGATGGGGTCACACGTTCGGTTCGAGCGACTCTGCGAGAGAGACTGTTGCATTGCCCCTGCTGCAGGCTGGTCCCCGACGCGTGCTACCCCTGGACCGGGCGCAACGACACCTGCCACGTGCCCAAGAAGGCCACGCTGCAGACGGCGCGCTGCCCCCTGCGGGCCGTCACCTCGCGCAAGGCCAAGACGGAGCTGTACAGGATGGGGCCCGCCTACCGCCTCGACTCCGAGCAGGACATCATGAGGGAGATCATCAAGTCGGGGCCCGTGCAAGGTGAGGAAGTCGACGCCACAACCCTCGACAACTATTTGGAGCTATATTGCAATGTTCATAAAAAAGCAATAATTTTTTTTTTTAAATCAGACCGTCTTATGTGTTAAACTAACAATAAATAAGTCCACTAAAATAATAATTTTTTGTTAGATATCTAATATGTTTTCCTTGTAATTTTTACAGCAACAATGCAGGTCTTCCACGATCTGTTCACCTACCGGTCCGGAATCTATGAGCATGTGCCAATTGAAGAGATGGAACGCTCAGGTTTTCATTCAGTGAGAATCATTGGCTGGGGTGAGGAGGAAGGAGTCAAGTACTGGGTGAGTCGAACAACTTCTGCCAAGTTGAATGAAACTGAGTGACCTTAAAATTTGTGTAGTTCATGACTGATTTTATTTTTGACCTTCTTTTTCAGCTCGTTGCTAATTCGTGGGGTGAATGGTGGGGAGAGGGTGGCTTTTTCCGAATCCGGCGAGGAGTCAACGAATGCCAAATTGAACACTTGGTGCTAGCTGCTTGGGCACACACCCACAATGCCATTACAGTGTGAACCTTTAAGACAGATCCGCAAGGCACATGAAAAGCCCCTGGGGCCAAGGATTGACATTGCTACTTAAGTGACCCAACAATGTTCAGCAAAGAAAGCAGTTGTCTGCAGATACAAACCCCAGTGCATTTTCCTATGGATGATTTAATTCAACAGGGGCCTTATACTGGGTCAATGCACTATGGAAGTTTGCCTCAAAGACGGAATAAAAAGAGGCTAAATTATTGAATAAGTAGCACACATGGTATCAGCCATTTTATACGGCTGTTTCTGGCTTCCATTTTTAAAAAGTGACTATGACATTAATGTTGTGGAGATTATAATTCTGTCCAATGAATTCTTCTCAGTTTACAGTATGCTTCCATGCTGAACTAACATGCTCATTAAGTGTGGCCAGGCATTCTGCTTAATATCCTGTAACCACTGCCAGAGCAAGAGCTTCTGTAGACCTGTGTTCTCACCTTTGTATTATTAAGAGTGTTACCTTACTGTTAATGTGATGCTAGCTTTAAGTGTCTTCTGTGATCTGTTACATTTTGAATACATAGATTAAGATTCCTAAATTTAGGTATTAGCTTGGAACTAGATAAAGTAAAGAAAAAAAGAGGCTTGCTAAATTTTCCTTGTTCTGCTATTCAAAACCCAAGGCTGAGACATTTACTATGTTGTGCTGATGCCATTGTTTTTATTTTTTACTGTGTAAGACAGATGGAAATAAGAAAATTTAACTGTGTTCAGTTCATATTATTTTTGTTTACTCCCCAAAGAAATCATTCACAATCAGTTTTGGTCAATAAATTGTAAATTAATATGCCATAATAAATGGACAAAATTTCTAACTCAAGTTCTGCATTATTACCATTTCCTCTTGCCTTGCTTCTTGTTTCGTTTGTCTTTCTCTTCTTTGACCTGCTGTATCTTTTGCCTAATTCTATCAATGGATTTTTTATTTCTGGTATTTTGATTGACGCCTGACATTTTCTTCTTAAGAATTTCATCCATTTTCTTCTTTGAATTAGCCCTAAAAACATTGGAAAAAGTGTCAAAAGGTTGTACCTTCATGAACCAATAAGATACACAAAGAAAAAAAGAAATTCAAAACTTACTCGTGTCTTATTTTCTTCAGATTTCTCTTGGAAGTATCTGTAAGATCTACATCAAATGATGACATCTTCCTCTTGTCACCACCTGCAGAACAACATTGCAATTTATTCCCATTAGATGTAAAGTAACTAAGTACCACAATAATATAATGAAACATCATGCAACATTAGAGACAAACCTGAGTGTGCTTTTCTATCATAAACTGTGGCTATCTTCTTTGGCTTCCTCTTCTTCTTAGCAAGTCGTGCTTGTAGAAGGGAAATTTTATGCATTTCTTTTTGCGCACGACCCTCAGGTGTATTCTCATCAAACATATTTGCTTTCTGTTTCTTCAGCTTTTCTTGTTTCTTTTTGGCTTTCAATTCCTCTTTTTCTTTCTGTTTCTTCTCAGCTTTAGTAAGTTTAGGAGCTTTAGGATCTGACAGACGCAATTTTTCTAAAAAAAGAAAAGGAAAAAAGAATAAAGAAAATGAGATTAGAGCTTAGTTGATTAAATTGTCTGACATACACGGCATTGCCTCATAAGTTGCATTACTTTTTTCATCCTCCCTTTCTTGTTTATTCTGGAACCAATCCCTTTTCTCAGATTTCTCTCCAAATAATAGTTTTTCAGCCTTGTTGGCTTTATTCTCTAATTTGTTAATCTCACGCTCATCAGCCTCATCTTGTAAGATTCTCTTTATTTCACCTTCAACTTGTTGACATTTTCGTCTGTACTTGTCAATAATTTCTGAAAGAGCAAATCACAATTAAGCATTGTAGACTAGATAAAAGGTACATCTCACCTCAGATAATGGAAGAGAATGACACATTACCTGGGGGAATAATTCGATTTTTCACAGGTGTTGTAGCATTTTTAATAACATCTTTTACTAGTAAACGCTCATATTCACCAGCTAATGAAACAGAAATGCCACTTCTTCCTGCACGAGCAGTACGACCCACTCTGTGAATGTAATGTTCAAGGGTTGCTGGCATCATAAAATTAATTACCTGTAAGAAGAACCCAATGTCAGCAATATCATACAAAACAAAACTACAAATATTTGTCTAAAAAGAAAGTCACTTACTGATTTTACACCACGAATGTCTAAACCACGAGCTGCAACATCAGTGGCAACTAAAACATCCAAATCTTCTTCTTTGAACCTACGCAAACTCTCCAGACGTTGAGGTTGTGTTAGATTACCATGAAGCTCCCCAACCTGTTGGGAAAGGTTAATAATGAAAGAGGCTCATCCAAAAGCGAAACATAGTTTTGAAAATGAAATAAAGCAGTCCATTTATTCATCATGAAACTATGCCTTGAACTGCAATTCTAAATAACAATGGATTACCTTAACTCCTAATAGGCCTAGTAAAAGACGAATCCGATGGGCAAGTTTTTTAGTTGTTACAAAGACAATGGTGTGGTCCCTAAATGTACGGCATACTAAAGCTGCCAAAATAGCTTCTCGGTCTCTTTCATTTCCACGACGTATCCTAGGAACCAAAGAAGATTTCATAAAAAGAATTCCAAACTGCAGAGATATGTGAACAAACTAAAATATTATTATCATTATTATTAACGTACCTGACAAATTCTTGTCTCAAATTTAGAGCAACTTGAGAGTTGGTGTCAACAAAAATTCTGACAGGTTTAGTGAGTGAAATTGATACAAGATCTTCAACTTGGTCAGTCATTGTTGCAGAAAAGAGCATTGTTTGACGTGTGCGGGATGTTTGTTTTACAATTTCTTTCATTTGTTCAGCAAAATTCTCATCCAACATTCTGAAAGAAGAGTCATGATGAAACTCTACTCAGTACTCAAATAAATAAAAGTAAAGTAATAACAATTACCTGTCAGCTTCATCCAGAATAAGAACCTCAATTGTAGCCAGGGTAAATGAAGGGGCATTTTTGGCATGATCAATCAATCTACCTGGTGTTGCAATGACAATGTCAGGGTTTTTACGAAGTACATTTTCCTGCAAGAGTGAGAGAGGGAATTATTTAATGACGGGTCAACAGCAGCTTTCAGCTCTTGGAATAAAATGCACTAACCTGAGCTTTCAAATCCAAACCTCCCACAGAGAGACCAATTTCTATAGTTGTGAACTGGCAAAGCTGTTTGGTGACTTGATAAACTTGAACACCAAGCTCACGAGTTGGAACTAGCACCAGGACCCTATTGCATCAATAGACCATCTTAGTAAAGCAGAGAGGGGAGGGATACCAAGTACACTTCCAATGCCAATATGGTGAATACCTGGTGGCTACTTGCTGACTTGTCCTATAGAGGAGCCGTTCAATAATGGGAAGCATGTAAGCTGCAGTTTTGCCTGTTCCTGTGGCAGCACACGCACAAATATCACGTCCTTGCAATGCAACAGGTATTGCTGCAGACTGAATAGGGGTAGGGTGAATAAAATTCATAGAAGTTATGGCCTGTTAACAGAAAACTGAATAAGTAATTCTACAAGCAAGCTGTTGTTTACATGCTAAAATTTATTACAGTAGACCAAATTAGAACTCATTTTAAGTAGGATGCTTGCCTTCACAAGTGGTCTGGACAGATTCATTTGACTAAATGTGGAACTTTCATCAAAGGGAGGAGCATCTTCAAAGAAGTCATCTTCCGATTCTAGTTCCTCAGCCTCAACTTTCAAAACATTAGACCCTGGATCTTTGCTTTGACTTTTCTCTGACCGCTTCAAATTTCTCTCTTTTAGCTTGATGTCATCTAATAAAATAAAAGTCATGAGATTTTAAACTCATAACAGATAAATGTATGGGTCACACTGAAGATGCACAATTTACCTCGTTTTAATTCATCATCAGATAGTTCATAATCATTGACCCCGTCATCGTGATTTACCTCTTCATTGTCCAAATCATCATCATTAATGCCAGCTTTCTTCTGAAAAAAGAAATAACAATTGAAAAGGCAAAGAAAGAACAAAAGATAAAAAATGCAAAGTTACACTTACTTCTTTCATTAAGCGTTTATTTCTGACTGAAGAAATCTTGTCTTCAATTTTTTTGTTTGCTTTGCGTTTTATGAATTTAGCAACATCATCCCAAGTATCATGGTTATATTCCTGGACACTTGACACAAACTGGAATTCCGGACTGAAATCTTCATTGTGAGTTTGCTTCTTTTTCGTTGGCTGGTACTGAAAGCAGACAAGGCAGACAAAATAAATATTGCAGCAGAAAGGGCGAAGAGGTTAGGTTTGCAATGTTGGTCGATCTTCAGAGGAGTGGACGCTGGTGACAGAAAGTGTGAGTGAACTCGGAAGCCCTGTGCATAGAGCTTAATTTTAACTCATCATTTAGTCAAAACGACGAATGAAGTTTTGTTTTTAAACACGATGAATGCAACACTGTCGGTCCGACACGTGTGGGGAAAAGAGACGAAGTCATTGCGGTCTTGGCACTCACACTTTCTTCCTGGTCCGAACCGTCCGAGAAGTCCTCGACTTCGTCGTCGTCTTCAATGGTTTTGATGCAGTCAAATTTGGGCCGACTCATTTTTACAAACAGTGTCTAGTAACCTAAACTTCAAAACACTGGTAAACACACTCACGGACAGGTTTCCAGAGCCTTCTGTCTTTTCACCGCGGGGACTCGCACTGCGCGCCATCTATCGGATTGGTTTCGAAACAGCGGGACCGCGGGCGCAGGCCGCGGGAAACTCAACATCGCGCCGGTAAGGTGCCCGGTTTTACGCCTCTCTCCTCACACTTTAGGCTCCCGAATACCGAATAAAGACTGAAAAGTGAATTCATAGGCAATTTTTCCTTGGTCGCAGGTCACATGTCACATCGCAGGATGGTTCCGTTCGGCAGCGGCAGTGTCCGCCGCGGCGCTACTCCACGCGTCGGAGCCACCCAGACACAGCAGGGGGTATCGCCCAGCAAAGTTAAGGTTGGCGCTTGCGCTGGCCTCCGCCAGCCTCCGCGCGCGTGGCGCGTCGTCGAGTCTCGTAAGGGAAAGCGACAACAAATTTCCTCTGTCATGTTTGGCTTGTAGTAATATACTCCTTGATTGTCTACCCTCGTCTTCATAGCTTTCACGTGGCTTGCGGGAGTTCCCTCAGTTGGACCGATCCCCGCGTCATTTTCAAAACAAGAGACTGGGGGAAGTACATGCCAAGTGCGAGAGAGACAGTCGGCGTCATCAAGGGAACGTGTCCCGGTGATGGACGGCGTGTTTGCCGCGGCAATCGGCACGACACGAAACTGCACCCCCCCCCCCTCTTCCAGTGGGGGCGCGCTGGCACGCTGACTGATTAACAATTGGACCGGAGCCCGCGGCTCATCAGGCAGCCACCGACCAGGACCGACTAGGACCGACTAGGACCGACTAGGATCGACCAGGAAGCAGCCGTGGTTGCAGGCCAACTGCCCCTAGCCACCACTTTCATTTCAGGCGTACACAATGTTACGGGATTACGGGAAATTATCTACACTCCAAATCCAGGGTGTCTAGAAACTATACGCCTTAGGCGTATGCCACAGAAATGGAACTGCCTTAAGGCGCCTTGATTCTACACGCCAAAGGCGTATACCCCATTGAGCACCTTTTGCAGATAGAAGTTAGCATGTGAACACCATTGGTCGAAGGAAAGGTGCGTGCATTGTAGTACACACCCTGGATCATAGGCACTGAGCTCAACAGGACTCTAGGTGCGTTGAATGCAAACACCGCCCTTGGCCGAGGCCATGCCTACCGAGGCCTTAAAGGGTGTTTACATTCTACGCACCTTGAGTCCTGTTGAGCTCAGTGCCTATGATCCAGGGTGTGTACAATGCACGCACCTTTCCTTCGACCAATGGTGCTCACATGCTAACTTCTATCTGCAGGGGTATACGCTTTGGCGTGTAGAATCAAGGCGCCTTAAGGCAGTTCCATTTCTGTGGCATACGCCTAAGGCGTATAGTTTCTAGACACCCTGGATTTGGAGTGTAGGGATAACGCGCAAAATTTTGGAAAATTGGTTCAAAAAGTTGAAAAATGGCTAAAAAATGTAGAAAAATTATAGAATTTTGTCAAGGATGACGTGATTACGGCATGGATTATCGGAGATTAACAGCCAATTTGTAGAAAGGATTACGGGAGTGGAGGTCCCCTCGAACTGCCCCCAGCACAAAGAGCCACGGCCAGACGACCGGTGGAGGCGGCCAAAACTATAGACGCGTTTTGAGCTCCAGAGTCACTAAATGGCACTCGAGCCGAACGTGTGACCCCACCAATGGATTGCTCTCCGAACGAGGAAGCCATTGGTGGGGTCACACGCTCGGTCCAGTCCCATGTAGTGACTCTGGAGCTCAAAACGCGTCTAGAATTTCGGCCACCTGCTCGGTCCTGCGAGAATCAGGACGTTCAGGAGTTGCATTGGGGCCGCAGTGCGCCCCGTCGAGCTGCCCGCCACCCGGCCTGACTGCACTTAGACGGTTTGTTTTTCTTCGCGTTCGATGTGCAATCGCACAAACCCGCTAGCAGCTCCTGGAGTTTCCAGTGCACCGCCGCCTCGCAGCGAAACACGAAACCTTTGAATTCCTGCAGCGAAACTTTGGCCGAGGCTTTGCTTCTTCAGCCCTTGGACGGGGCGGCGGACGGTCCTCCCTCCAGCCCTTGGACGGGGCGGCGGACGGTCCTCCCTCCAGCCCTTGGACGGGGCGGCGGACGGTCCTCCCTCCAGCCCTTGGACGGGGCGGCGGACGGTCCTCCCTCCAGCCCTTGGACGGGGCGGCGGACGGTCCTCCCTCCAGCCCTTGGACGGGGCGGCGGACGGTCCTCCCTCCAGCCCTTGGACGGGGCGGCGGACGGTCCTCCCTCCAGCCCTTGGACGGGGCGGCGGACGGTCCTCCCTCCAGCCCTTGGACGGGGCGGCGGACGGTCCTCCCTCCAGCCCTTGGACGGGGCGGCGGACGGTCCTCCCTCCAGCCCTTGGACGGGGCGGCGGACGGTCCTCCCTCCAGCCCTTGGACGGGGCGGCGGACGGTCCTCCCTCCAGCCCTTGGACGGGGCGGCGGACGGTCCTCCCTCCAGCCCTTCACTTCTCGCGCCCCACTCATTTGGCAGTCCCGGGAACGACGGAGGGAAGCGGAGACTGCTGAATAAAAATGGGTTCTTGTTTCCGAAACCGCTTTGGGCGAACCGTACCCTGATCGGAGCTGCCGGAGCACGAATTGGACTCTGATGTTGGTCCATTCTACCCCCTCCCTCTCTCTCTAGCTCTGTCACTCCCCCCTCTCTCTTGTTGCTTCCAGAGCGCGGCCAAACAAAACGGGAAACTTTCTTGTCATCTGCAGCAGACCGATTCCGCACCGCGTTTCGTCGCTCTGTCTCTCTCGCACCCGCGCGAAAGCCCCGTGAGTGCGAGAGAGAGAGAGAGAGAGAGAGAGAGAGAGAGAGAGAGAGAGAGAGAGAGAGAGAGAGAGAGAGAGAGAGAGAGAGAGAGAGAGAGAGAGAGAGAGAAGAGAGGAAGAGGGAGGAGAGAAGGAGAGAGGAGAAGAGAGAGAGAGAGAGAGAGAGAGAGAGAGAGAGAGGTGGCGCGGCGAGCGTAATCCAGATGGACGAAGATTAAATGCACCGGTTGCATCGTCGAGCCGCCAGCGGGCTGGTTCCGAGACGGCGCTTCGTCGCTCTGTCCCCTTCGCACTCGTGGGGCGTCGCGTCTGAGAGCGAGAGAGACAGACCTCAGCCTGCCTACTTGGTAGGCAAACCTTACAACACCGGTGCCTTGTGGGAACGGTTGTCCGCTTAACACGGCTCCAACCATGCACTTGCACGTCGAGACGCAAAAACTCGACAAAATGCATTATTCCTTGCTCGCCCTCTCGCCAAGACGTGAGCAAAGAATGAGAGAGACGCAGCGAGAGAGAGAGAGAGACAGAGAGAGAGAGAGAGAGAGAGAGAGAGAGAGAGAGAGAGAGAGAGAGAGAGAGAGAGAGAGGGGAGAAATAAGGGGTTAGAAATGCAAGGGCGGGCGCGCGCTGCACTCGGCTATTGTTTCCGACCCCCGTTTCTCTCTCTTTCCCTCTCTGTCCTTCTCATCGCGGAGACTCGTGCTTTAATTTCGGCCCCTTCCTGCCAAGGGAAGTGGCTTGTGGCGCGCATCCGGCCCGCTTTCATCTCATTGTGCACAACCTGGGGTTTGTTTCTCTCGCACTCACGCACACAGGCAGACAGACAGACAGACAGACAGGCCGACAGACGGACGGACGGACAGACAGACAGACAGACAGACAGACAGACAGACAGACAGACAGACAGACAGACAGACAGACAGACGGACGGACGGACAGATGGGACGGACAGATGGGACGGACTCCAGCCGGCGAACACCCCGCGCTCCCTCTGACACGCGTGTTTACACACGCGCGGCGCGAGCGCGATTCCTTCACACGCGCAATAACACCCCCACTGACGTCAGAAACGGTGCGTGCGGTCACGTGACACGCCCCGGGCCGGGGCCCAATTACAAGGGTCCACACCCCCACACGCACGCAGTCTCTCTCTGTCTCTCCCTCTCTCTCCCCTGGTCCTGCTCGGTTTGTTCGACGTGTTCGTCGCGTCACTTTAACTTGGTCATGTCCTCGATCCCCCCGGCAGCGCGGCGAGGCGCGGCGAGGCGCGGCGAGGCGCGGCAAGGCGCCCGGAGCCTGGCCCGGAGCGGCCCGCCCCGGACACGGTTCAATCGCCGGCCCGGCCCAGCCCGGCCCAGCCCGGCCCAGCCCCCGGACCGCGGGGGCGTGGAGGCGTGGTCACGGCACTGGAAGGAAAGCGAAAACACGTCGTCCAGGGAGCGGCACTGTGGTACTGTGGATTTGGCGATCAACATGAAAAACGAACCACGCCGCGGGGGCGGCAGGCGCGCAACGGGGGGTGCCACCACGCACAGTGGGCCAGAAGACCGGTGGAGACGGCCAACTCTAGGCGCGTTTGAGCTCCACCGTCGCTAAATGCGGCACGAACCAAACGTGTGACCCCCCCACACCGATGGATTCCTCGTTCGAAAAGCAATCCATTGGTGGGGTCACATGTTCGGTTCGAGTCCTATTTAGCGACTTTGGAGCTCAAAACGCGCCTAGAGTTTTGTCCGCCTCCTCCGGTCTTCTGCCCCACTATGGTGGTGGTGGTGGTGAGGGGGGGGGGGGGCACCGGTTGAAGGAAGTGTGCAGTCACGCAAAGGCCTGCTTCCTGCTTTGCATTGACCACCCCGGGGCATGCAAGCGGCTCACCCGGGGGGCTGTTGAAAATACTTAAGCGCGCGGAGACTTCATGCAGTGCGGGTGGCAACCTAGGTTCCTTTCCGCGGAAACGCAAGTGAAGCAAAACAATATTTTTTCCAACAGTGTAGAGCGAACAGCTCGAAACGGATGACGCGTCAGACGACGTCTAATCACTCGGAACTTGTTGCTGCGCTGCGCGCCACAGTGGGCCAGAAGACCGCTGGAGGCGGCCAAAACTCTAGACGAGTTTTGAGCTCTAGAGTAGCTATGCAGGGCTCGAACCGAACGTGTGACCCCATCAATGGATTGCTCTCCTAACGAGGAATCCATTGGCGGGGTCGCACGTTCGGTTCGAGTCCTGTTAAGCTACTCTGGAGCTCAAAACGCGTCTCGAGTTTTGGCCGCCTCCAGCAGTCTTCTGGCCCACTGTGCACGCTACGCGTGACCCACATCGGGGACTGTGTCCAGATGATTGTGCGGGCGGGACACAGCCTGAACACTGCTTTTTCGCTCCGTCTCTCTCGCACACTGCGGTACGCCCCGCGAGCGCGAGAGAGACGGAGCGACGAAGGGGAAGGGCACGGGAGTGCGGCGGGCTGCCTACGCCGCGCATGGCAGGCGTCAACACGCGAGCCTCCTGTCGTCCTTGTCGTTTTCTTTTCTTTCTCGCCGTCCTCCTCGTCGTCCTCCATTCCACGGCGTTTGGCACACTGTTAGTACCTCTTTGGAGGGCGGTACTGGGTAGGGATGGCACGTGATCTGGTGGCCTTCAATCGCTGGGGGCGGCTCCAGGGCCCGGGCCAAAGCTCTCTCTCTCCGTCGCACTCATCAAATAATGGGTCTCTGGCTGGCGCGAACCCAGCCCAAGCCTGGAACGAGCCTGGAACGAGCCCGGCCCAACCCTGGAACGAGCCTGGAACGAGCCTGGAACGAGGCTGGAAGGGGCTGGCTGCCAAACAGCGGCGTTGCAGCGCCCAGTTTACGCCGTTTGTTTTCTAGCACAAAAACCAAGACAGTGATTTTAAAAAAATGATGTGGAAATATTAGAAAAACCACAACAAAACAATGCAATTACCTAGTTTTTGGAGCCCAAGATATACACAAGGAGGGTGGACCTAAAAATAAAATGAACAAGTTTTGCTTGGAGCTGTTTGGTTCTGGACAGCGTAGGCATGTTGTTTACCGGGCCTGGACGACGAAAGCTGAGCCCCCGTATCGGTGTCCTGGGTGAGGCCCGGAGCCGGGCCGAGCCGGGGGCCTGGAGGATACAGGGCTCGCCAACCCGGTGACCCAGGGTCAGTGTTGCGAGCTAAGAAGGCAAACAACGCCCGAGATGCACAGGTGACGAAAGGGGTGGCTACACTCTAAATGTTGCACAGTGAAGATTCTCCATATTGTGGTGAAAATGTTCCATATTATGGTGGTGCAGCTGACTTCGTAACATACCATTGAGAATTCACTGTACCTTTTAGACATTTTGACGAATTTCGTTGGTATTTATGGAGAAAATCTCCACCATAATATGTTGGTGCAGCCTTTCACCGTAAGACATTTACAGTGTACTCAGGCAATGTCTTGTCAGAGAATCCATGGTGGGTAGCCTAGTCACACATTGTTCACACCCCTGCGACAGTGAGAGGTTTCTGCAACAGCAGCTGAGCTGTGGACCGGTTCCTGTCGCGAACGAAGTAGGCTAAAATGAGTTTGCCGCCTTTTTATGCCGCTGCATCCCGAGGGGGCAAAAACTCGGGATTTCCGTGTACACATGATTCGGAAAACGCAATGATTGCGAATGGTTTTAATTGATTTCATGGCTGATTTTGCCTTATTTCGCGACGCACCAGGGTGATGTTGAGCGTGATTGCGTGTGATTGTGTTCGGAAAGAAATGATTTCGGACTGATTTGGCCTGGTTTCGTGTGATTCTGCCTAATTTCGGTATTTTAGTGATTTTGGCTGATTTCGGATTGCTTGATTTCGCGTGATTCTCAATAATTCGCGCGTGATTTCGGGGGCCGTGTACACATGATTGCGCGAGTTTTTGCCCCCTCGCTGCATCCCCTAAAGTTTTTTTCTTTTGCGGCTGGCACGCCATTTACATGGGCAGGGCGGCGAGGCCCGGAGCAACAGGCCGGCTGGATTATTGACCGCCCGCTCGCGGCTTCGGTCTTTATTGGATTGGACATGTTTGAAGGGAGCCGAAGGGAGCCGAAGGGAGCCGAAGGGAGCCGAAGGAAGTCGAAGGGAGCCGAAGGGAGCCGAAGGGAGCCGAAGGGAGCTGAAGGGAGCCGAAGGGAGCCGAAGGGAGCCGAAGGGGGCCGAAGGGGGCCGAAGGGGGCCGAAGGGAGCCGCAGGGGGCCGGAGGGAGCCGAAGGGGGCCGAAGGGGGCCGAAGGGAGCCGAAGGGAGCCGAAGGGGGCCGAAGGGGGCCGAAGGGGGCCGAAGGGAGCCGAAGAGAGCCGAAGGGGGCCGAAGGGAGCCGGGCGATTGCGGGGACAAATCCATCCACATGGTGGCCCGAACGTCGAACTTGGAACCTTGGAACCCCGGAGCCTTGAAACCAGCGCCAGCCAGCCTTGCTAGCGCCCCGGGGCCTCAGGTGCGCCTTCAGTCGTGTGTGCTAAATTTCTATCATTGACATCACCCCGACCCGCCCCGCCCGCCCCGCCCAGCCCCACCCCGCCCCGCCCCGCTCCGCCCCGCCCCGCCCCATGCGTCTTTGGACATGGATGGCCGCCCAGGCAAATTGAGGACGGCAGAGACGTCGTTCTTCGAATCGGTGTGTTCTACTCGCTCCCTGCCTGCCACCGCCTGCCGCCGACCCCGGTCGGGGCTGCCAAATTTCCTGGTCGGCGGCAAGACGGCCGCGCCGACGAGTCCGCAGATCATACACGCTAAAAATTACGGGACAAACAAAACCAAAATTAAAAAAAATGGAAATGCTGGCTGGAATTAACGTAATCAACGAAAAATCTTCCCGACCGGGTGAAATTTATTTAAATCGAAACTGGGCGTTTCCTGTCTGCCCCGGGTTAGCAAGGGTCCCACAGTCTTGAGTGGAATCCGAAGCCAGTTGTTAACGCGCGTGGCGAGCGTGGCCCGGCCAAGCCAAAAGCCGTGTCCAATCAGCCTAACGACTTTCGGCCAGAGTGATGCCTGGCGATCGACTGTTGCGTTGCCCTGGTGGCCCCTTCCCCTCGCGTTACGTGCTTCGTGGACGCGAGGCGGGGCGTGGCGGGGCGTGGCGGGGCGTGGCGGGGCGTGGCGGGGCGTGCGGGGCGTGGTGGGCGTGGCGGGGCGTGGCGGGCGTGGCGGGGCGTGGCGGGCGTGGCGGGGCGTGTGGGGCGTGGCGGGGCGTGGCGGGGCGTGGCGGGCGTGGCGGGGCGTGGCGGGGCGTGGCGGGCGTGGCGGGTGCGTGGCGGGGCGTGGTGGGGCGTGGCGGGGCGTGTGTGGCGTGGCGGGGCGTGGCGGGGCGTGGCGGCGTGGCGGGCGTGGCGGGCGTGGCGGGGCGTGGCGGGGCGTGGCGGGGCGTGGCGGGGCGTGGCGGGGCGTGGCGGGGCGTGGCGGGGCGTGGCGGGGCGTGCGGGCGTGGCGGGCCCGCACCCCTGGCCACGGCGCCACGGCACGAGGGCCGCTAGCGCCGCCGCCAGCGCCAGTCCTCCCCTACGTCCCGCTCCGAGAGCACGAGCCAGCCAGGCCCCAGCCAGGCCCCAGCCAGGCCCTTCGTAGCGACCGCGCGACGCGTAGCCCACCAGGCCCCACCAAGCCCCACCAGGCCCCACCACCGCGCCGACCGCCGCCTCCACTGTGTGGTGAGTCCCTGACTGAAGCACATCACACACGGGAAGTGGGAAAAGGCCGGCAGAAATACAAATGTGCAATCAAAACTTCATTCATAATGCAAACAAAAAAAAAACACTAAGATTTTAAGATGGCAAAATATTTTTGGAATATTGACGTGAAGTGAAATTACTGGGCAGATGTAGTGGAATTCCCCGCAGTCCTGACGAGTGTCCAATTTGTCCCTACTCTGGCTGAGCGTTCACGGTGCGAGGGAAGTCCCTGAAAACGGTCTTCGTGGCACAAATTTCTTAAACAAAACGACAGTTTCACGAAATAATTTTCTGGAAGCAGTAACTTTTGTTGATTTGCATAGATATTGTTCCGATTTGAAGTAAAAAATTTCGTGGCACCAAAGAAAATTTTTCGAAACCAATAAGTTAAATTTTTTTTTTTAATTTTATTTTTTAAATTTTTTTTAAAAGGAAGGCCTACAGCAACTCGTCGTGTTTGCCGCGCAAAGTTAAGTCGCGAAAGTGCGCTCTGGCCTCCGGCCAAGTGGGCGGCGATTGCGCCGCGGTGCAGTCCCTTGCAAGAGCGGTCCTAAGGGCCGGGACGGGGAGCGCGATCAGAACGCCCAGGGCTTGTCCATACCGTCCGCAGAAGAAAAATAAATCAGTTTCCAAACGTTTTTAATTTTTTCAAATTTATCATTTTTTTTTAGAGTCGCCACCTCCATTCACGTGCTGGTCCACTTAGTTGATTGTGTGTGCCCCGGCCATAATCAGAGCGATAGTTTCGTCCATTGATCGCATTTGGTGCGACGCACAACTGGTTCCCTCCGCGCCCCGCGGATTATTTGGATGGCTTACTTCTTGAAAGCCTCGCTGCTTTGCCATTAACGCTAACAACGCCTGCCCGCGTTTTTCGGCCCAAACTCTGATTATTCAGCCAGGATGTCCCCCCTCCCTCTCCCCTCGGCGGATTGACGTGTTGGTTTACAGCTCGCAGCAAATTAGGGGCGAAATCGGGGGCAAAATCGGTCGAACTTTACAAATTTGTGCTCAATTTTCACTTATTTCCCCCCTTATTTTCCCCTGAAATTTTACTTTATGATCAATCTTCACGAGATGTTTATTTCAATTTCACTAAATTTTAAACTTGATTCGTGCTCTTTTTTTAACCTCTCTTCCATTTTTGCGAGCGTCTTCTCGTTCGCTTTGGCGCCTTTTTGCCGCATTTTCCGCGACTGTACTCGGCGAGGTACGTCGTTTGGGCCGTCGCTCGAAGGCGTGATAGCGCCGACAGTGGACTGGCAGTTTACTTGGGTGCGTCCAAAATGGTGTCGATGTATCGATGGTATCGGATCGACCCATCGACGCTAACTCGATAAAGGGCGACACTCCGTCTGGCGCCCTTCAAAGGGCCGCCTCGACAAGGTCAAAGGCATAATTTAAATCGATTTTAATCGAATGGAGGGACCGGAGAGGGAGTTTGGTGAGCGTCAACGAGGATGTGTTCGCAGCGCGCCACTTTGGCGACGGGAAGTTTCGAACCGAGGCCTGCGAGCGGTGCCTCGGATTAGGGCCCTTCCGCAAATTAGCTGCTTCATGTCCTTGCCGCTCCCTATTCAATGGGTGCTAGGGAAACAGGAGCGTACCCTGTGAAACTTTGCTTGATTTTCCTCGTACTCGACCTCTGAGAGAGGAACCTCACGACTTCTTGGACTTCTTAGTTCAGTCCAATCGACCTTCTTATTTTTTTAAAAATATTTTTTTGCAGTGTGATAGAAGCCGACCCTTTGTTGCGAAAAAGCAGGGCAGCTACACCCACAGCGCAGAGAGCACGGCCTCCCCGCCGGGCCGCGGCCGGGCCGTCTCTCAGCCCTGACAGTTGTGTCGGAAATAATTGCGCACAGTCACCGGACAGAAGGCTGACTCCGGACAGTCGCTCCATCTCTCTCTCTCTCTCTCTCTCTCTCTCTCTCTCTCTCTCTCTCTCTCTCTCTCTCTCTCTCTCTCGGCCACGGGGCGCCCCCGACCCGGGCCGTGCGAGAGAGACGGAACGAGATTTAATGAAAGGGTGCGATGACCACACGCTGCACTGCGAGTGGCCGCCCGACGAGGAAGAACGGACCGTTACGTCATTTACACTGAAAATCTATCGGCGTGACTTCGTGCCGCTGCAGAGGCGTGAATAATGTGTAACACCAATAAACGGCATGACACAAAAGTCACGCCAAAAATCGGCGTGACTCAGAAATTCACGCCAAATTTTGGTGTGAATTTCTTGTCATGCCGCTTTTTGGCATGACTTGTCTCTTAAAACGCGTTGTCATTCACGCCAAATGACGGCGTGACTCACATGTCACGCCGTTCATCGGCGTGAATTTCGTGTTACGCCAATTTTTGGCGTGACTTTTTGTCACGCCATAATTTGGCTATGTGTCCGACCATTACGTTTTCAGTGTATGCATGGGCCGCCCACTTACGGCAGATTGGCAATCATTGGAAATGTTATGTATATTCCGAGATTCATGCCGCGCTGTCTCGGCTGCCGACCCCTCCCCCTCCAAATCGCAGACTACTGTGACGCAAAAAAAAGGGATGAGGTTAAACCCTCGGTTACTGTATCATGCCTTCCTCACATCGACAGTAAACACGGCGACGTTTTGCCCACTCCTTTATAGCGGACCGTAGGAAGGAAGAAAGACGGAAAAGTATCCCCCCTCTCTCCCCCCTTCTCTCTCTTTCTCTCTCGCTCTCCCCTGTGTGTGGGTGGGGACGTTTCTACAGGGTGGAGGCTGCTTTCGGTGGCAGGTGCTGCGTCCAACTGTTTCCGCCCTTGACTTTGATTCGCCGACCCTTCCAGCTGGACAGAGAGAGAGAGAGAGAGAGAGAGAGAGAGAGAGAGAGAGAGAGAGAGAGAGAGAGAGAGAGAGAGAGAGAGAGAGAGAGAGAGAGAGAGAGAGACGGGGCGACGCGGGATGAAGACGGAACCCCATGGGAACACCCATATCGAATTCACGTGGAATCGATGTGGAGGAACGACGTGGATGTTACGTGGATGATCGAGTCGATCATCCACGGGATAGCGGTACTCGAGTATAGGTGGATTCCACGTGGATCCAGACATATCGAAATGTAATTTCCACGTGGATAAGAGATAGATATGTCGATTTGATAGGAACTCTTAAACGTGCTATCCACATAGAATCCATATCAGAAAATTCGCGATCCCCATCACATCGATGTTGATTCTTCAGCGGCCATCTGCTGCCCATGGGGACATCCCTTACCCTAACTCGCCTTATCCACCCACCATCGATGTTACATCGAGGCGCATATCGGTCATTCCTAACACTTTTGTTAGGAAGCCCTCAAGGTTAACTCCCTTGAGGATGTCTAAAAATGAAATGACCGAGACCTTTCGTTCAAAGACTGCTAAGTCCTCTGGAGCTGCCCGATGTGCTTTGTTATTTAGCTCTGGGATATGGTGAATGTGGCATCCTACTAGCAGCCGAGGGTAAGGAATGACAAGAATATCAGCAGGCCCTCTGTCGGCAGCTTTTAAAACTAATCGAGTTCCAAGGTCTTCACTCATCTTCATTCAATCCACGTGGAAGCGTCCGAATCTACTCAGATGAATCCCGCATAAAGAGACGACTTTGTTTCAATGAATTTGGATACGTATGATCGACATCGAGATCGTGTAGAATAGGGCCCAGATGGCCCACATGCGGGCCAGCACCATCTAACCATATTGAAACTTCATGCTCCTAAACACGTCTCTCAACCACCTAAAACGCCCGGTGGATCTAACGCGGTGTGATCTACATTTCAAGACATACTGAGAGTCAACGTGGATGCGTAGTGTGGTGTTCCACATCTCCGAATGCCTGTGAATTACCTCATGGATAGAGAATGTTTTTATCCACGTCGATCGTGCACCCATCAAAACACATCGAATAGAAGGCCTCCAATCCACATCGAATTGCACATCAGTAATCAACGTTGAAACCAGGGGTCAGAGCCCACATTGATTGTTCGCTTTGAATTCAACGTTGATGACATATTAATAACAGGTGGATAAATCCACGTGGTCTTATCCACCTTGTCCACAGAGATTCTACGTGGATGGAATATGGGTGTTCCCATGGGGAAGGTCGTGGAGGGTAAGAGAGGGGAAGCGGGAGGGGGAATTTCAGCATTCTTGGCATGGTCGTGACGCAACGAGTGGCCTTCACACCGTGACACTCACTCCCTCCGCCTTTGTGTGCGAGCAATGCGAGTCTGTAGAAGTGCGTGTGTGAGTACGTCTGTGTGGGCTGTAACGTTTTTTACCTGGCCGTCATGCTGCCAAGAATGTGCAAAACGAGACGAAAAGCGAGTGAAATCAAAAAGATGCTTGAAATGGCTCCGGTGGGGTCCGTTTGCACTCGACTCAGGGCATGCGCAGTCGGTCACAATAATAATACACATGAAGACTTTCCATGTCGACTTTCCCTGAATCGTATTATTTTCCCCCTACGAAAATTGCAGTAAAAGCGACCATGACCACGACCATGACCGGAAGTTGGATCACCAGCAGCTGCTAGTAATTGAAGCGGCCCCTTTGGGATGGGACATGAATTGAATGGTCGCTGCGCAGCGCGTCGCCGCGTCGCCGCGCCTCGGGTGGATCGCGAAATAGGGCCGGAATAGTCGACGGGGAAAGGACGCTCGCACGAAAAAAAATGAAAAAAGGGACTCTGTTATTTTTTCTACACGCCACGGCGTTTTGAACGATGACCCCCAAAGTTATGGATATTTATTCATGCACCTTGATCAAAGAGCGGACGAGCGAGCGCGCGAGAGAGATAGAGAGAGATCATCGTTAGGAAAGTAGCCCGGGATTGGCGCCTACTTCTTTAACAGTTCGGCGGCGTCAAGGGCTGAGAGTCACCTCGCTGTTCCTTCCACGTGTCAAGCAAAGACTCAGGTGGCGGTTCTGCAGATTTGTCCGTCCGGGTGTGTCACAGGTCCGAGCTGAC